AGCCCATTTGTGTGCTGCCAGGCAAAAGGATACGTTAGTGTTCAATAGAACACCTTCTTTGAATTCTATGGTTTTACATATCAGGACACAATAAAAATAATCTAGACCTTAGCGGGTCTGAACATTAGGTAAATATGAGCTCAGATGAACAACAACACATGACATATTACACTGTGTCATGATTTATTTTACAAAAATAAAGCCAAAATGGAGAAGCCATGTGTGAAAAACTAAGTACACCCTTACTACTTCTATAGAAATTAAGAGGCTAAGTACCAGCCAGGTGCTGCTAACCAAATACCCTTGAGTAACTGATAATCAGCAAGTGTGACAACTTCCAAAAAAGCTAAAGTTTCAGTAGTTTGCTGGTCTGGGGCATTCAGGTGCGTGTTAACACAATGCCAAGAAAGAAACACATCAGTCATGATCATAGAGAAGCAATTGTTGCTGCTCATCAATCTGGAAAGAGTTATCAAGCCATTTCTAAACCATTTAAAATTCATTATTCTGCAGTGAGGAAGACTATTCACAAGTGAAAAACATTCAAGACAGTTGCCACGAGTGGACGTCCAAGCAAATTCAACCCAAGTTCAGACCGTGCAATGCTCAGAGAAATTGAAAAAAAAAAAAAAAGAATTACATCTCAGACTCGACAGGCCTCAGTTAGCATATTAAATATTAAAGTTCATGACAGCACAATTAGAAAAAGTCTGAACAAGTTTGGTTTGTTTGTAAGGAGAAAGCTTCTTCTCTCTAAAAAGAAGCCTGCCTTAGATTTGCAAAGTTGCATCTGGACAGACGCAAAGATGTCTGGAACAATGTCCTTTCGACAGATGAGACCAGGCTGGAGATGTTTAGCCATAATGCACAGCACCACTTTTGGCAAAAACCAAACACAACATATCAGCACAAAAACCTCGTACCAACTGTCAAGCACAGTAACAGAGGGATTATGATTTGTGCTTGTTTTGCAGCCGCAGGACCTGAGCACCTTGCAGTAATTGATTTGACCATGAATTCCTCTCTATACCAAAGTATTCTAGAGTCAAATATGAGGCCATCTGTCTGACAGCTAAAGCTTGGTCAAAATTGGGTCATGCAACAGGGCAATGATCCCAGGTAGTGCTGGATTTGCACACCAGCAAATCTACAGCAGAATGGTTGAAAAAGAAAAGAGTCAAGGTGTTGCAATGGCCCAGTCAAGGTCCAGACCTCAACCTGATGGAAATGCTGTGGCAGGACCTTAAGAGAGCTGTGCACAATCAAATGCCCACAAACCTCAATGAGTTTAAACCAAGTTGTAAAGAAGAGTGGGCCAAAATTCTTCCACAAGGACGTGAAAGACTGATAAAGTAATACAGAAAAGGATTACTTCAAGTTATTGGTGCTAAAGGCGGTTCTACAAGCTAACGAATCATAAACTCTACTTAGTTTTTCACACATGGCTTCTTCCTTTTAAAAATAAATCATGACACATATGTCATGTGTTGTCATTCATCTATGGTAAAACCACAGAATTCAAAGAGGGTGTACTTTCTTTTTCATGTGACTGTAGTCCCTTGCCTTGACAATTACCCTATTGTGAAGTTATGGGCAGACCACGAAAACAAGCAGTTTATTGGACTTTGGTAGCAAATATGATTTAGGGAGCTTGGATTGGTACAGTAAACATATTGGCTGAAATCCTGTTCACTGTCACATAAAGTTATGTCAGATTAAACCTGTGAGGGGTGAGGGGTTATATACAGGCAATCCAGATTGCCTAATTAGATTACACATTCTATTCTATTCTATTCTATTCTATTCTATTCTATTCTATCCTATTCACAAGGAGCAAAGCAAGTGGAATGAGAGAACAAGAGCTCTAGCTGTCTTTGGAGAAGCTGATTATCGGGAGATTTGGCAGCTGAGCTGAGGAAAGGTCGGAAGTAAAGGAGTGCATTGTTTGGTGCACATGTGGATGTGCACATGCATGCATGCCTGGGGGGACTGCACTGAGAGCCTGAGCGGGGCAGCCACCTCTGTGCCTTCTAGAAGCCTGCCTCTTAGGAATAATAAGAAGGGGGAAGTGGTGGAGGAGAAAAACAACAGACCAAGAAAAGGCACAAGTCAGAGGAGGTCAGTCTAGTGGAAGAGGAAGCATATTGGTTTCCCTATGGAAATGCTTTGTGGATAGCACTTCTGCCCTAGCACCACTATTGCTACTGTGAACATAGGGTTTATTAACATCCATGTAGGTACTCAACAAGACTTCAACTGTTGTGCAAGCCTTATCTAGCACAAAAACAGTAATGCACTTCAATGTATGTTAAGGATGACTCCATTCTTCATGAGGAAACAAAAGTTAAAATCCTCACATCATTATTGTTCTTTTAATGGTGTTTTTCTCTCCCCAAGCTTCACAGTTATGGGGAAAAAATTCCACGCCTCAAGAAACAAGTCCATCATGTAAAATACCCACTCAGCAACAGAACAGCCACATTTCCCAAACTCAGAGCTGAAGGATAGAGCCAGAATATGAGACAACCCTTTCTTCTGAAGGTCAGAACAGGCTCTCTGAGACTATGGCAGGTCCAACTCAATGATGCAGAGACCAGCTTGGCTGTAGCTCTTCAAAATGAGAGGCTGTCGTCACTGGCATAGAGATCAATATAGGGATCACTGTTGGTATGGTTTGGTTTGAACTAAATTACAGCATCTGCACATATTTCCACTTAAACTGATCTTGCCTCTTTAAGAGCAGTCAGGAACCTTTCTGGCACAGCAGTAGGGTATGTATTGTTTTTACTATGATTCACCACAATCCTAATTAGCTTTTTGTGTAGCCTGTGCAGACGGTTAGCTTGCACTCAAATAGAACTGTGGGTGATGTTAACTGAAGAGACCATCTGCTATGTATTAGATGGACTGTCACATTAACAGGAAGGGCAGAGAAACCCCCTCCTCTATTTTTCTCTTTTTTAAAAAAAAAAATTTCCTAACCGATGCAGCAGAATTCTACAACATGCTAGGTTGATGCACTGACATTTCAATATGTCAATTACTTTAATTAACAACATCAAAAAGGGAAAGTCACTGCAGCCAGCTGAATGATGGCTGCGAGAAAAGGCAGGGAAGGGGGCTATGTCGACTCCATGGGCTCCGCCCACACAAGACAGTGGAGCCCCAGCAGAGTTCTGGCTGAGGAGAAAGGAGGAAAAAGTTTTTCCCCCTATCCCTTCCATGTCCCTAACCTTCAACCCAAGATTTCCCCCTCGCGTTGCAGCTGTCATAAGAACATAAGAAGAGCCCTGCTAGATCAGGTCAAGAGCTCATCTAGCCTAGCTTTCTCACAGTGGCCCCACCAGATGCCTCTGGAAACACACAAGACAACTACTGTCTTTCCCAAAAAATAACTCAGGGTCTTATATTAATTTCTTCTCTCCCCCCAAAAAAACAAACAAAAAAACACATTAGGGCTTATTTTCAGGAGTTTTTTTATGTACAACAATCTACATCTATTCAAATACAGTCATGTCATCTTCTTCTGGTTGCCGCACAATGGTGGGGGGTGGGGTTTTACTTAACTGAGTCTTATTTTTGGAGTAGGTCTTATATTACAAGCATCCTGAAAAATCATACTAGGGCTTATTTTCAGGTTAGAGCTTATTTTCAGGGACACAGAGTAGATCCCTGACTCCTAATACCCCTCCCCTGCATCCCCACAGACACAATTTACTCCAACATAGGCGAGGGCACATGCCAAAATGATGCAAAATAAATCCTTCAAGGCTGTTCAAAATACCTTGCTTTCAGAACAGAACACCATGCTTCCTGCTCCCCCCCCCAAAAAAAATCACACTCAGCTGTACACAATGTAGACAGGTATTTCTAAATGAATTACAGGCATGCTAAACCTGACTCAAACCCAGGAGTTTTTCAATGTGTGACTGCACCCTTAATTTAACTTAAACTAGTGGAGTTGGGGGGGGGTGTGTCTTAATTTTCCACTTTGCTTCATCAGCTATCTGTGCTATTGTGAAAAGGCTGTAAGAGTGAGACTCTTCAAGGGATGCACTTGTTCCCTTTTCTGAATTTTCTGCTTTGACTTTCTTTCTATAGATGTCAGGAAACATAGACAAGACAATATTCCTTTAAAAGCAGTGCTATACACCAGTCCTCCAACAGATGAATATGCACAAGATTCTGTGGCACAAGGGCCACATCCCTATTCCAGACAACCGGAGAGTGTAACCTACCACATCCAACACGACCCTTTGGCTGCACAGTTTAAGAAATGACTGCAAGCAGCCAATCTTTCACAGAACTTTGTCCATAATGTATCTTTTAACTGCAGGCTGGAACCAATGATGCTTCCAATGATGCAACTCCAGATATTGCAGGATCATGCCTGTCTCAAACAACTTGGATAAAGGTAATTGTTTCTAAGACTTTTGGTCCAACATCTGTGAACCCAAGTTTCAGAAACACAATTCCAGAGTCTCAGTGATTATCCTTCTTCTTAGGGAGGGTGTTAATCTGTGAGAGAACTGGGGCTATAGGCAGTCATGGGCTGAACCAGAGTTTGGTGGAAACCAAAGCTCTCGCTCGCTTGCTCACTCTCTATCTCTCTCTTACCCCTTTTCACCTCTGCTTGCTGCTATGATGGCTAGATGATGCTGAAAGCCTCATAAAATTAGGCTGAGTGCCACTTATGGCCCATAGATCCCAGGTTTCCTGCTCCAGGTCTAGACCATCTTTAATGTGTAGTGCTGCTTCTGGGTGATGGGCAAGTCTTTCTCCTTCTCACCAAGTCAACTGGAAGAGGTGGGAAAAGACAGGGACGCAACTGTTAATGGGCGTAGCTATCCATTTAGTTGCACATCTTGTAATAAGCTCTCCTTTTTGAGCAGTGAAATGAAGAAAAATACCAGGAAGGCAAGCTTGTATATACGTTTACCAACCACATGACTAATCAGAAAGGAAAAGTCAATTGAAGTAGGGAAAAAGATGGCACTTACCCCTTGTTCAGATTCCAGCAGCTCTGTTTTGACTCTGACTGCAGGCATCCCATCAAGCATTAACATTCTGTTTTCCAATGTGTTAATATCCTTAAAGGGAAGCAGAAAAGCACAGGTGAGACTGGAGGAACTATAGAACAACTACAGTTTATTGACCAATTGCACACTTTGATAAATTAACTGATAAATGAAGGCTGAATTATTGATTTATTGAACTCAGGCAGTAAATACTAACAGAATAGCAATGCTGACATCTTTTTTTCAGGACAGAAATCTGTGCACAGCAAAATTTCTCTTTTCTTTTTTTATAATTTTATTCAACAGAAAGAAGACATATACAATAACTTCAATTTTATAAAACACAACATTAAACCAACTTAGAAAATAACACAACCCTTTTTCTCAGCCCTGTGCTGCCCACCCACCCCTACTCAGAACTAGTATAGCACGATTTCTCAAGGAAGTAGAGAATGCATAAACAGAAAAAAATACAGCTTCCTCAGCTTTTTTTTTTTTATTTTTGTAATTCCAAAAGACATTTCTAGCTCAAGAGTGCCTCAAAACATTTGCCTGCCAAAATCTGGAAAGCACCTAAAGCTACTGAAATAAACAGCCAGTGTGGTGAGGGATAGAGCTTCAATGCAGAGAACAACTCTAGGGAATAAATTATGTATGTTTATTTCATTTGTATAATTCCCATCAGATACAATATCTGGCTTTTCTTGGTGTAGAATTGGAGTTGCCTGGGTGCAAAATTTCAGGTGTTGTTTTTTTTTCCCATGAATAACACAACCCTGGAATTCATGCAGAATCTATAAGATCAACACTGTAACTTGCTGCTAGAAGGCAAAAGCCCTATTCAGGCATTGCTGTGGAGGAATAAATAGGCGAGTGTGGCTGTTTTCATATAAGTTCCATCATCAGATCCCCACCCACCAGGAAGTCAGCAAGACCTTCGTATTTTTAACACAAAGATCTGCAAAGAACCCTAGATGCCCATTCAGCTGAACATACTATTAATGTTCCAATAATTGGGAGCCCTAGCTAATTAAGATTCCCAATCATGGACACTGTTAAGCATTCAGGCTCCTTTGCAGAGCCTCATGTTAAACATGTGAAAGTCTATTGGGGGATATGTGAGGGATGGGACTTAAGCACATAACCTTGCCTCCACCACCCATTTTAGCTGTCACAGTTTCAGGCATAACACCTGAATAGGGCAAAGCTACAGATAAAGCAGAGAATCTCAAGAAGAGTTAAAGAGAATTATGGGTTTGACTCTTTTTCTTTCCATTATAGGTGTGATCAATTGATCTTATGTGCAACAACAGGGAGGAGGAGAATGGACCAAGAAGTGATTGAGAACATTCAAATAAGACGTCAAACATGATGGAGGGAAGTGACTCCAGACGTAGCCTTCTTTCCCAGAAAAGAGTGTTTACTTATCAGGCTTGGATTTCACATCCCTGGGTGTCACCCAGCGTCAGTGGTTTGGCCGTTTGCCTAGGGTGGAGCAGCAAAAAAGGGAGGCAGCTTGGCTCTCATTTCAGCAGCACTCTAAGCCTTTCCTACTACTGTGGCAGAATGAAGTCTTTCTCTTGCATGAATTCTAAAAAGTCACAACCAATATTCATTGCAAGACTGGAGTGGTGTTTCAGTAAAGCATCCCTTAAGTAAAGCCTCCCAGAGCTTACAACATTGCTTTTTGGCCTGGAACACCGATAATCCCATCCTACCCCCCCGTTAGCAAAGGCTAACAGAGTTTTGTCAAGAGAACAAGCTGGTCATCACAAACACTCTTTTCCAACAACACAAGAGGCGACTCTATACATGGAAATCACCAGATGGGCAATAT